CTCTCTCTCTCATTCTCTCTGTCTCAAATAAATAAATAAAATCTTTAAAAAAAAAAAAGAAAGTAATTGGAAAATAGTTTAGAAGATGCTATGTAAGCTATAGAAATCAGCATAACAAAGGACCACGGTGTCAAAGGACAGGACCAAAAGGTAGATCTCCCTGACCACCTGTAACTCTCCAGCTAGGACAAGGCCCTGTTTACTTTCTACATAACAATAACAATTATCACAATTTTAAATTATCTTGTTCATTTTCTTTCTTCCTTTCCATCCACCTGATAAAAATATGAATTTCACAAGTAAGTGTAAGGTTTATATTGCTCCTTTTCAATTCTTGTATTTTTGACCCCTTTCACTCTGTATGGTTCATAGCCAGTGTCCAGTAAATATTTGTTGAATTAATGAATCAATCAAAAGTAATGTCCTTCCTACCTACCTCTGTTACTGTAAGAATGAAGCCTCTCCATTCTTCCCCACTTTCTGTGTTCTCTGTCTAAAGAGGAAGACAAAAAGATAAAGACAAAGAAGAGACATGAATGATTGTAAACATTAACTTCAGATAACTTTAGAATTTCATACAGTTGTTTCATAAGTCTCAAAATGTGTAAAACCATCAAAACCCAGCAAATCTTGATTTCGGCTCAGATCATGACCTCAGGGTCATGGGATCGAGCGCCCCGTCGGCTCCCTGCTTAGCGTGGAATCTGCTTGAAATTCTCTCGCTCTCTTTCTCCCTCTCCCTCTGCCCCTCCCCCACTCATGCTTTTTCTCTCTCTCTCTCAAAATACATAAAATCTTAAAAAACAATCTTACTATACTGTACTCACCCTTCTTGTGATGATGTGAGCTGATAAAATGCCTACGTGATGAAATGAAGTGGTATGTATGACATAGCCACTGTGACGGAGTGGTAGGCTACTATTGACCTTCTGATGATAGGTCGGAAGGAGGACCATCTGCTTCTGGACTGCAGTTGACTGCAGGTAACTGCAATCACTTTAAGCAGAGACTACGGTACTGTAACATTTTTTTCTGGGTGTACTGGGTGTACAGTGACGACTTTAACAAACAGATCTCTGCTCATGGGGAGTTTAGGTTTTTGTGAGATTAATACCGTATTTTACAAACTATGTATATCTAACACAGAGTTCTTTTTGGAGTTTTTCTAACTGTAACAATAATGTTCTTTATCATTTGTTTTCCTTTTCTAATACAGAATTCAATCCAGGATCACACATCACATTTAGTTGTCATACTCCAGTTTCCATGATTGGGAACAGGTATCCAGTGTTCCTTTGGCTTTTCTTACAGTGGTATTTTTGAAGACTATAAGCCAATTACTTTGCAAAATATGTCTCGATTTGTGAAATATGGGTTTGTCTAATTCAGTGGTTCCCAACATGTATCATGTTGGACATGTCTCAGATTCATCTGGGAACTTGGTGAATGTCAATTCAAGAACAACTTTTTAAAAACACCAGATGGGATCTCTGACTTTGTGGGAGGACAAAAGTATATGGTTTCAACGTGCTTGTATACTAAACAAGGGAACATGCCCTTTCAAATCCCTATTTAGAAAACTGCAGTTTTTGGCAAAAGGCAAGAAATATTAACAAAGTACAAGACTTGGCAGCTCCTCTTAAAATTCCTCTTTTTCTCAGCCACTGGGTTGTGAAGAGGCCAATGCTATTTATAACCACAATTTGTTTCCAGCTGTTGCTTCTCCTTACTCACCTTCAGTTGCACTTCCTCTTTTGGCAAAACAAGGGTGAATTTTGCACAATTCTTTTCAGTTGAATTCTGGTCAGTAAGGCATGTGAGGTCTATTAGGTCTAACTTGTCAACATACTGCAGAGATAAAGGAAATCTCATTACATTATTTCACGGGTAACATACATTAGGTCTGGTAGGCAGGAATATAAGTAATCTCCTCCTTTCAACTGATTTGTACCTTGCATGTTATCCCGGTTTTCAACTGGGCATCGCAACTCTTCCAAACCCAGAGGGCATTTGGAAAACGTATTATGTGGCGGTGTGCTGGACGTGACTCATCGGGTTGGCAAAAGCTGATCTTTTAATTTTTAGGAATTTTGCAAGCCAGTCACTAAACACAGCTATTATTAAAAATTAAATGATATTAAGCATACAATTATTTTAAAAACAAAGGTAATTAAATTCAAAACTCATTATTTTCTTTTTTTTTCTAAAGATTGTATTTATTTATTTGACAGAGAGAGACACAGTGAGAGAGGGAACACAAGCAGGGGAGTGGGAGAGGGAGAAGCAGGATTCCAGTGGAGCAGGGAGCCCTGTGTGGGGCTCGATCCCAGGACCCTGAGATCATGACCTGAGCCGAAGGCAGACGCTTAACAACTGAGCCACCCAGGCACCCCACAAAACTCATTATTTTCTAGTTGTATTACTAAATAGTATTTACTATGCTCTTGAGGTTATTTACATCTTCATTTCTGTTTGATGGAAATACCATCTAACGGTGCATTACTGTACCTTTCTTCCCAATTCAGTGAGGTCACATTCATAGGTTGAAATCAGCTATGGTGGAAGTATTTACATCCTGGAAATCGGCAAATCTTACAAATTAGGGCTTGATTTACTCTTTAATTGTCCTAGGGGCCAGCAATTTTTTTTTTTTTTCCTGCACAAGCTAGATAGTAAATGCTTCCGGCTTTGTGGACCAAATGGAGTCTCTGTTGCAAATTCCTATTGTTGTTGTTTTAATAGAATACTTTAAAAATGTAAAAAATATTCTTAGCTCAGACTGTACAAAATCAGGCCACCGGCTAGATTTGGCTCAAGGGCCACAGTTTGCTCTGCTCTGGTTGAGACATAAGAAAGTGAAGGAGAAAAATGTTAATAATGCAGGTCAAACTTTAAAGTTTGTTGTGTCTGAAACTTTTTCATTATTAACAGAACAAAAAATTGACAAAATAGAGGGTGTTCCATAATTCAGAAACTATTGTTACTCAGCAAAGAACTTGCCCATGTCATTGACAAAGAGGTGACATACATAATTATTGCTTTACTTTCCTCTTATTCCTTAATGTAAACAAAAATATCAGCCAACATTCATGTCAAATGTCATATTTAATGACAATAAATTTATTAGGGAAACAGCAGTTTGGGAAACAACTCCATCTGTCAAATCATGATTGAATTGCAATCATAGTTGGCTATGGATCCAAGTTCAGAAAAATCACTGAAAGTATTCTATGGGAATCAATTACCTATATGGAAATTACAATAAAGAATATTGTGTATTTTATTTTTTTAACTGTGTGCTACACATTCTTTTTATCAGTAATATTTATAATAGACTTATGTACATATATTCATATACACAATTTTTTCCAGAATGCTATTTGACATTTTTCACATGCCACTGGTTATGAGGATCCTATTAAGAAATTCCTATCTTATCTCAATACAATAAGAATGTAATGTATGGTGATTAACATAACATAATAAAAAAAAAGAAAAATAAATAAAAAAAATTTCTTCTGAACAATTGGTATATATGGACTGGTCTGTATGCAACTGGTCTGTATGCAACTGGCTTTCTAATATTAGATCAAAACCACCTCCAGTAAGCTCAGTAGAGTTTTTATGGCATAATATTTTTTTCTGAATTAGCCTCATTCTTGACTTCTTTTTATTTTCCTCTGTTTTGCCCAACATAACTTATTTTGCTATGTTCTTGTAGGTCTCCTTATTTTATTTTTCTGAATAAAGTAAGGCATAAAAATAAGTAAGTAAATTTTTTTCCAGACCTATTCCTATGTTGATGAAGTTAAGGGTAATTTGGGTTGGCCTATTTATTTTCAATGAACAAAGAGAAATTTAAAATGGAAGGGAAGGTATAAGGGAAGCAGGATAGAATTTCAAATTACACAAGATCTTTTTCTGATAGATTGTCTAGATTAAGCTAAATGAATTTTGCTGAGACAAAGGAGGAAGCAACAGAGGAAGAAGTGGCCAAATTAGATAGAGTGCTATAAACTGATCTATTGCTTAGAAGAAAGGAACTTACATCTTTTTTTTGTTTTTTTTTTTTTTTTTTTTTTTTTAAGATTTTTATTTATTTATTTGA